CGATCAACATCGCTGAGGGTCGGAAGCAGTCCGTGATCCTGGCTTCGGAGGCTATGCGGCAAGAACAGATCAACCGTGCCACTGGTGAGGCGGAAGCGATCTTGCTGAAGGCACAGGCTACGGCGAGGGGTATTGACGCCGTCGCCAAGTCTATCGCGGCTGATAAGGAGAATGCCCATGGAGCTCTTAGCCTGAGTGTGGCGGAGAAGTATGTAGACGCTTTCTCCAACTTGGCTAAGGAGGGCACTTCGGTTGTCGTGCCCGGAAACGTTGGTGATATGAGTTCAATGGTTGCGAGTGCCATGGCTATCTACAAGAATGTCAACCAGGGCCAAGCGCACAACATTGCCGCGAAGACCCTGGGAGTGGAACCCATTCAGGACCAGGCTTCCCACAACACCTCAGACAAAGCATCTGAACTAGACCATGAGGTAAAAGCGGAAGTCGAGGAGACCACTCATGAAAATGTCGCAGAGGAGGTACTCGATGGCTTTAATGAGGCTAGCCAGCAGAGGAGATAATTTGGATTGATGGACTGTACTATTTCCCTCTACAGGCCTAACGCCCTTCTCTGACCTCTTTCTTATCCACTGCTACCTCTAGTCCTTTTTTACGATTATTTTTCGGATGTGTACGAAATACCTATCCCTACCACACTGTACCTTTATTATCACCCCTCTTCAGTTATTTATTTTTCATTGCCCGACATTTCTTTAGGATGTGCTTGGAATAAGCACCTTGGGAAAAGCTTGTGGTCATTGCCTGTTTAGCGTATCGTCGAGTTATTTGAGGAGAGTGTGATCTCTGTTCAACCGAAGTGTCATGTATAGTAGACGAGTGGGTTGAGAAATCGATTCCTGTGTGATTGAATAGTTCAGTAAGGTAGTGATCAGGCACCAGTAAAGGAAGTGCCTGAGGATCCCCAGGCGGAGAAAGCAAAGCACGGATCACCCGGCCTGCCGCTTTACTCCTTCGGGAGATCGCGACTTTTCTGAAGATCGGCGCGCACTCCATTGTTCGCGTTACTGGACTTTATCTCCTGAACCGGAGAGACAATCTTCTTATACCAAGTCTATCGGGTCCCACCCTTCTAGCTCAGAAAGGACACCTCGGATCCGATGATTGTGGACGCGGTTGCTTTGCGATGCCCCAAATAAGCTATCCTTTATTCACGTCAACTTTCCTATGATCCTGCGCACAAGGGATTCGTACAGGATAAAAAGAAAGCAGCACAGTTGTTGCGATGCATATCATAAAACCCGTTTGGCTGACGCACGGAGGTATTCACCAATCTGTCTACATATTTTCAGCGTTTTATTCACCACCGTGCCCTCTTTCGAGACCGATGGGATACAAATTTACATTGCTGAGTCGAAATAGCTAACACCTTTTCCCCGTTGCCTTACAGGTGAGAGGAAGGATTTCGAGGTTTACAGTTGCGATGTGTCGCCCGATGGAAGTCGTTTAGTTACAGCTGCTGGAGGTTGGTTTTCCGTGCCCTACGTTACCCCTCCGCCGCAGACCGCTCGATTGGACTGGTATTGACTTCTTTCGAATCAAATAGATGGATACGTTCGGATATGGTCGACGGAAGCTATCTGCAATACGGATGACCCTGCCGTTGCTAGTAAGCCAAAGCAGCTGGCGTCGATGAGCAACCACTCCGGTACGATTCATACAGTTCGGTTCTCGCCAAACGGGAAGTACCTTGCATCAGGGGCGGACGATAAGATTGTTTGTATTTACACGCTGGATGCGAATCCTCCGTCGCATGCTACAACATTTGGTGGGTGCTGCTTTCGAGTCTCATGGCTCGTTCGGGTTAGAAGCGGCGGCTGATACGTTGTACATAGGGTCGAACGAGGCACCTCCTGTGGAAAACTGGCGCACGGTCCGGAGATTGATAGGCCACGATAATGACGTTCAAGACTTGGGCTGGTCCTACGACTCTTCTATCCTGGTGTCTGTCGGATTGGATTCTAAGGTGGTAGTGTGGTCAGGGCATACATTTGAAAAGCTGAAGACGATTTCCATACACCAGAGTCATGTCAAAGGGATAACTTTCGATCCAGCTAACAAGTATTTTGCTACGGCAAGCGATGATCGCACCGTCCGAATCTTCCGTTTCACCTCTCCTGCTCCGAACTCGACCGCTCATGATCAGATGAACAATTTCGTCCTTGAACAGACCATTTCCGCACCTTTCGCCAACTCCCCTCTAACTGCTTATTTCCGTCGATGTTCATGGTCGCCGGATGGTATGCACATCGCCGCTGCAAATGCCGTCAACGGACCGGTCAGTTCCGTCGCGATAATCAACCGTGGATCCTGGGATGGGGACATAAACCTGATCGGACACGAAGCTCCTGTGGAAGTGTGTGCATTTTCTCCGCGACTGTATGCCAGTCAGCCGGTTGACAAACAAGCGATGGATAGTCAACATGGTGCACAAAACCTAGTGACCGTCATTGCTTGTGCTGGAGGAGATAAGTCCCTTAGCATCTGGATCACCAGTAACCCAAGGCCGATTGTGGTTGCTCAGGAGCTTGCCGCCAAATCTCTATCTGATCTGGCTTGGAGTCCCGACGGAAAATGCCTTTATGCAACAGCACTGGATGGCACGATACTTGCAGTCCGGTTTGAGGACGGTGATCTGGGATATGCAACAGCTATGGAGGAGAACGAGAAGTCGCTTACCAAATTCGGCACTAACAGAAGAGGCGCCGGTATCACAGAGACTCCGGATGGATTGCTACTTGAGGAAAAGAGCAAGGCTGGCGAGATCAAAGATGTCGAAGGACGAATGGGTGCCCTGATGGGTGATGACCAGGCCGATAATCTAACCAACGGAAAGCCCGCGCCTCTACCTTCTAATGCCCCAACCCCTGCACGGGCATCATCTCCCGCCCCAGATACGCCGAAGAACCAGCCAAACGGGACCTCAACGCCGTCGGCTCCAGAACCGGAGAAGCCGGATCCGTATCAAGCAAAACTTGAGAGATTGAAGCAGCGCCCTACTTACACTAAGGACGGCAAGAAGCGTATTGCCCCTCTTTTGGTATCTGGCGCAGGTGCAGCTGAGTCCTCCCTGCCTCAGGCTCGTTTGATGGCCTCGGTTAGCAGCCAAGTGAAGGCCGATACACCTCAGTCTATTGTCGATCTCTCTAAGCCCTTCGACGGTTTACCCAAGGGGGGCCTCGCCACGCTGCTCTTTGGGAATAAGCGCAAGCTCGCGCAGCTGGAGGAGGACGATGATGGGCATGTGGAAAAGCGCGTCGCATTGGCAAGTCAGAATGGTGCTACCCCTCTTCTTACGAACACTCTAGATGGCCTTCTCCCTGCACGACCGCAACCCGCCCCTGCCGGTCAACAACCGACACCAGAGTTTATTCGACCTGCGGTGACGAATCCTTGTATGGCCATGAGCCAGGTACGACTAGCCGTGCCAAAAGTCCGAAACCAGATCCTTCGAGCCATTGATCCTAATGGGAAACCGACTGAACCACCAAGTGCGTCAGGAGAGTCCAATAAATCCCGCGTTGACGTTGTCTTTGAAGCTCGCAACCCGTCCGCCGCTAGCCTGACTGGCCGCGCAGCAGATCGGGAGCCGGTGCGGCTCACACTCTTCCGAGGGGAGCAGCCCCTGTGGCAAGATTTCCTTCCACGGACGGTCCTTCTCGTGACTGGCAATCAGAGCATGTGGGCTGCGGCCTGTGAAGACGGGTCAGTCTACATCTGGACTCCAGCCGGTCGTCGTCTTGTCAGTGCGCTCGTGCTTGAGGCACAGCCGGTAATCTTGGAATGCAATGGGCCATGGATCCTTTGCATATCAGCCGTTGGGATGTGCTATGTCTGGAATGTTAAACACCTTTCTTCTCCTCATCCGCCTATTTCCCTTCAACCGGCACTGGATGCGGCAATCCACATGCTGGGCGCACACCCCTCAGCCGCGCCGGCAATCACTAACGCACGGATCAATTCCGAAGGCCGAATCGTGGTCGCCATGTCGAATGGGGAGGGTTACTCTTATTCGCCTTCCATGTTTACGTGGCAGCGGATCTCAGAGCCCTGGTGGGCTGTCGGCAGTCAGTACTGGAACACCACCGAAGCGCCGGTGGGCAATCTCCAGACTGCTGAAGCGCAAAAAGACAAGGACGCAAAGGCTGCGGTGTCAGCCGGAATTATTCCATTCTTGGAACGCAACACGACCAGCGAGACGCTACTCCGCGGACGCGCATACTTCCTCCAACGGTTGATCAAGGTACTTCTCTCCCGCGAGGGCTACGAGAGTTTCGAATCGAGCGTATCTATTGCCCATCTGGAAAACAGACTTGCGGCAGCATTGTCCCTCGGAGCCAAGGAGGAGTTCCGGCTGTACCTCTCGATGTACGCCAAGCGGATAGGAGCAGAGGGCCTCAAGATGAAGGTGGAGGAATTGCTAAAGGGCTTAATTGGCGGGTTGTTTGAAGAAGATGAGACTGGAACTGCCCGGCGCCTGCAGGAGAACGAACAGGAAGACCGAAACTGGCGAGAAAGTTCAGAGACCCTCTGTGGCTGGCCGCGAGAGGTGTTATTGAAGGAGGTCATTCTGGCACTGGGTAAGCTTCTAACCTCCCTGGGACGTATTAATGGGTCTCATACTGATGCGAACATTGTCCAGGCAAACACCGAGATCTTCAGCGGGTAACGGTACCATATGCCAAGCTACTGGGAGTTGTAGTTGGCGAGTCGGATGCGGGCGATGCCATGGAAACATGAGCATCCAGACATGAAGCCTTGTCTCTGGTGTTTTTTGGCGTTTCTTCATGAGGGGTTATACTATGGAACTGGGTGGCTTACTTCTCCGTGGAGAAGCTTGACTTTTCGATTTCTCTAATAAAATGGAATGACGATTCCTGCGTCTTTTAACATGTGTTATAGTATATTATATCATGGCCGTGAATCTTTTATCATGCTTCAAATTACTGAAATATGGATAGCGAACCTCTACATTGAAGTCCTTTCTTGAACAACACTCTCATTGCATCGCTATATAATCCAGAAAAACAACAACAATATCAACAACAACAATAATAATAATAACAATAACAACAGCAGTAGTACCAAACACTACCCAGGTTCATTACCATGGGAGGCTAGGGATCCAGATACAAGTCCCATCATGCTGCTCCCCGCAGTTCGAGCAGAACAGGTTATGAGACGGACTAGGATTCTTCGGTCCATGCTGCAAGACATCAAGCATGAAGTCGTGACTGTGGATACCCACTGCGAGAGCATTGTGGACTAGGTCATCGAGGCCAGAGTGCTTTCCGCAGTGGGCGCAGACACGACGCTCCTGGGCCATGATATTGCCGCGGAGGGTGATGGCATCAGCTGTGTTTTCTTAGTTGATTCTCTTCCTCATCCTAAGGCTTGAAACGAGGAATTGAGTTGTGTAGAATGAAGAAATGAAAAAAAGGGAAAGAGGGAAACGTACTCTTAGTCTTCAACAAAGATTGTTGCTGCTGTTGCGGGCCATCTTGAACTTTCCTTATTTTGCTTTGGTCTTGGTTGATAGAAGATGATTTTTTTTTGGGTATTAGAAGAGAAGAGAAGAGGATTATTGTCCTTGTTCTTGTCTTGAAGGATGAATATAGGTAGGGCTTTATGGACCTTTCCTATACCCTGGTTCTCACCACCTTGGGTACAACATCTCATCTCATATTTGAGCTCACATGTCGTGCTTGTATGTTTTCTTTTCTTTTCTTTTCTTTTCTTCTCTTTTTTTTTTTTTTTTT